TTGTCTTCACCTGAACTTTTCTATCACAGAGGTTGTCTATGAGCTGCCGCTCAGGCTTCCAGGACTCCCAGTAGCAGCAGTCTAGGGTTTGACTATCGCTTTTTTCCTTAGAAACCCTGGCTCAACACCAATCTGGCCACATTTGTCTTTGAATAAACAAGAGTGACCTCTTTCTCTGTTCTATGTTTTCCTTATCTCCTCTAGGTTCCTCTCCCTTTATGGACACTCTTTACACATTACTCTAGTCCCTTAGAGTTGCAAAAGCCTTTCCTAGTATATGAAGATCTTGCTCCTCCAAGGGGCTCAGCCATGCTGCTAAAGCTCTATACAAGCTTTGAGGTTCCTGTTGAACCAACATTTTATCTCTGTGAATATAATTCTACCTGGTCCTGTAAAGTGGGGTTCAAACATAGCTTCTCATATGCCCAGGTGTCCCTTAATAGTGTCTGTCCCTCTCCTTTCTGGTTCTGCAGATCCAGATACTTATGCGGAGCTCAGGCTAAAGATCACCAAGTGTTCCTGATGGCTCTGAGGAGAAGCAGAGTCCATCAGTGACTGATCTCCCTCACACTGCCCCACGTTCTGGAGCCTTTGCCTCCACAGCAGTCAGGCTGATCCCCTTCACATCTGTGTCCTCGAGCCTCATAGCCAAGCTGTGTCAGGTCTTTCATTGCTTGTTTAAAATCTATTCTAACTGGTGCAGCAGTTCAGGCACTAGGTATTTCCTTGTGGTCCTAGTTTCTTGCTGAGGACCATTGTTAAGGCCCCTATCTGCATGTTGGATCACAGATAATTTTTCTTCTTTTTCTATTAAAGTTCAGAGCCAAAGTTCATCTTCTATCCCCTTCACCAACACTCATCCCCTTGCTTCCCTAACTTACTTGCCCTATCAGAGGCTAACATGGAGGATGCTAACTGGCCTCCTGTTCTTGCTGCAATTAGCCCTTCACTAACTCAGCCTCAGCTGCCTTTCTCACTCACACAGAGGCCAGGCAACCTCTGCCTCTGCATGCTGAAAGTTTCCGCCCTAATGCACACATCTAAAGACTGCAAAAATCTTCTCTAAGTTCTTTTAACTGATTTCTGGGCATCTCCACATTCATATGGTGGACTCTGATAATCAAGCAGGTATCCCACCCCATACCACATATATGACGACTCCATCTTGCCATTCCTCCCACAGACACTTCTAATCCTTAGTGTTCTCACCACCCATACCAAGAACCATGCAACTGTTCCCATAGCAAAAGGGCACACTAACATATGTCATACAGGAAAGGTGGAAAGTATCAGAATCTCCTCCATAGATGCTCAGCAAGCTGCTTAGCCTCAGTTGCATGACTTGCTACCCATCGTCAGCACTTCCCCTTCACTCTTCCCCAGTTCCTCTTCAGTTCTGTGGAGTCCCTGTTCAGGTGCCTACTATGTTGTAACAGACGTTTCGTGAGGAGATGCAGCATACACGAGTCTATCTAACTCAGACTGGGAGCCCATGACTGACAAAAGTATATCACCACAGTCCAACTTGGTGAGCCAACCAATGACTTTAATTGGGATGGCTTACAGGAATAAGGGTGTTTCATTATAGAAGCAGGAATGACTCAAAGTCAGCTGCATTACCAAAGCACACTCCCGCCCGGGTAATATCTCACAAAAGCTGAAAATCTGGAGCACACCGCACAGCCTGAAGGCAGTTCCACAGGGTGAAGAGTCCTTCCTGGGTGGCTCAGTTGATCGTCTTCCAGGAATCTCCGTTGCTCCCTGCTTTTTTTTTTAAGGCAGCTTGGGTATTCTCTATTTTTTCAGTCAGTTGGGCTGGTTTCAATCTTCTTGCTTTACCTGAGAGTGACTGTCTTTACTGTTTACAATTGGGAAGGAAAGATGGAAGGATGGAAGGAGGAAGGGAGGGAGAGAAGATAGGAGCTAATGAACAAGGTCAGTTCCAGGAATTTCCTGAAGCTGTGTTGAATTGTTTACTTTCTGCTCAAAGAGCTTCCCTATAGAATGGAATGTTTTAATCTTGGATGAAACTGCTATAGTACAATCCTTATACTTCAGCTCAGCCAGAACTCAACAATCTAGGGTAAAAACAAACTCAGCCTAAATTGGCCCAAGAAAATTCATTTAATGAACAAAGATGCAAAAACTGCTCATGAAATACTTGCAAATAGAATGCAAGAAAACATCAAACCATTCCAGAGATACAGTGATGGTTCAAAATGTGTAAGGCAATGAATATAAAAGACAAAATAAATGGACTCGAGGACAGAAATCACATTAGCTCAGTTTATGCAACAAAATCTTTTGATAAAATTCAGTGTCCCTGATGATAAATAACTCGAGATACTTGGGATAGAAGGAACACATTTTAATATAATATCAGCTATATACATTGCAAACCAATATCCAATATTACACTAAGTGGGAAAAAAACAAATTACTTTTACTAAAATCCAGAACAAAATCAGGTGCCATTTTCTCCACTCTCCTTTAATATTGTACATGAAGTCTAAGCAATAAGACAAGTGAAAGAAATGAGAGGGAAGCAAATCAAAGTGTCCTTATTTGCAGAAGCTTATGATTCCACATGTGACCCCTAAGGACTCCATCAGAAAACTCTTAGGTGTGATCAATAAATTTAGCAGAGTGCCAGAATTCAAAACTAACACAAAAGTAAGTGTAGAGAGGTAGAGAGTACAAGCTGAAATTTAGTAGGGATACTACAGACACAGACTTGTTACAGTAGCTGAGGATCAGGTCAGTGAGCATCTGCTTCAAAGGGACCATAGGAACTGCATACTTATGTGTGTAAGCATCAAATTTCCATGGAAATGACCTTTTCACACAATGTATTTGGATCAGGAATGCTCACACAAGGCTGTGTGCTTTGGGTTTAGTCCCCAGACGAGTTTTTTGTTGTTATTGTTTTTGTTTTGTTTTTTTTTTTTTGCAAGATGATGGAATTTTAAGAGTAATCCTACATATTAAAGGGCCCAGCTTGCCTTCCTCCCTCCCTTTCACACTCTTATTCTTTAACGACAAGGTATATTACAACCCAGTCAGCCTCAAATTTGCTATGTAGCCAAGGCTGAGAACTTCCGATTCTCCTCCTTCTCTCTGCCAACACTTGAGTTATGGGCATGTATCACCAAACCAAGTATAAGGTGCTGGAGATAGAACTCTGTGCTAAACCACTGGGGCGGAAAGAGCCAGGTTTAAATGTTACATCTTTTCTCTTTTCAGTCTCAGAAAAACCAATTTCTGCACCTGATCATCAAGACAAGAGTGACTAATAATTTCACTTAGCAAGGCCCCAAAGTCGAATTCAACCAAGACTTTTTGTGTGCTTGCTACTTCAACCTCAGGAAGATTGGCATCCATGTGGCACCAGCCCATGAAAGCCGTCAGCACAGAAGAGGCATTGTTCAAGTAGCAAACTTTTACCTTGAGAACCTGCAGTTTCCATTTCCTTTCCTGTGACCAATACTGCACTTCTGCCCTCATCCTCATGCTTCTCACTGTTGCTCACAGAAGGGAACTTGACAGTGTCATCCATATTAGTCAGGCCCCAAACAGATCACCATTCACATACACAAAGACTGAAGACGGTGTTGCCGGGACTCAAGAATTTCATGAGTAGTCTTGCTTAGTTCTCAGGGCTGTGTGCACTGAGTAGGTGCCTTGCCCTCCAGTTCTATTCTGCAGAAGAGCAAACTTAGCATAGGGATGAGTGCAAATTCCAGTTTGTATTGACACTTTCCAGGTCTTGTAACTCATATTTCAGGCTTTATTCTAGAACGTGGGTTCTTTTTGTTTTCCATTTAGACTCACAGAAGGCAGTCTCTTGAGATCATACTAAATCTCTCTCCATCCTCCCTAAGACACTGGCTGTACCAGTTCCACATGTGTCCTCACAAACAAACACCTGTCAGTCATCACACTGAGTTCCTTGTTAGTCTTCTCAAGCATAGTTTCTGACACAGTAGGGAATACTTCCTGGTTCTGTGACTGAGCTGAGAGTGGAAGGTTGGCAGTGTCCCTGGGGGCAGGGAAGCACCCCAAGATGACAGCAACACAGCTGTCTATAGCTCTGACAAACCCATGTCTCCAGACAAGATCTAAAGCTATCTGATGTGGAGTATTGCCCTGGATGAGAGTCAACACTGTAAAGTACTATTTAAGTAGACCTCCATATTGTGATTTGAGAGTGGAGGAAAGAGACTGAATCCCAATTATCTGTTTTGAAGGAAAGGAGTATAGACTGTTTCCTTCAGATGCTACCAGTCCACTAATGTCATCCACAGTCTTCTGAGTGCTGTAATGACAGGCACGCACCACTAAGATATCCAGAGTTTGCATTCAAGTTTCTGCTTTTGAAAAGATCACACGTCTCTTCTCTCCTAGGCAGGGGGATGAAGGTAATCAAAGGTTTTCAGGGTGTGCCTCTTCTCACTCCTGGCACTTCTCGAAACCTGCATGCAGGGGCCGCATCTTCTCAGGGTCTCGCCTAAGTATTTGTGCATTTTCTGATATCTTAGTCACCCTGGTCTTTTTCCTTACTCTTTGTGGAGAAACTGCAAAAGCACCTGTTACCACTGGAAGAAGAAAGAACATTCTCAGGTGTGTTGGGGTCTAAGGACCCCTGTACCCTAGATGGGGATCTGGCTTGTTTTTCTATGCTTGCAGCTGCTCTGAACAAAACAACTTGTTTTTCTCTGCTCTGACCAGGCTGCAGCTGCTCTGAGCACAAGACCTTGCTGGCAGGCTGGTGGGTCTGCATGTAAAAGAGCCTGAGAGGTGGGCATGGCCAGAGCCCTAAGCCTCCCCTGAGCTCAATAAAATTGGCACTCTTGTATCAAGAGTGACCAATGTCTCTCTCTCTCTCTCTCTCTCTCTCTCTCTCTCTCTCTCTCTCTCTCT